ATCGTCCTCCCTGCCACCTCGTACTCTGCTGCCAACAAAATCCTCCCGCTGATTTCTTGCCGGGACAAGGTCCCTTCATCTCTTGCACCCGGATCTACAAGTGCGTCAAGAAAGATCCCTTGCCACAAATCTATATGTAATGAGTCAATTATAGCCTAAATCTAGTCCCTGCTAACCTTATCAGTACATGCACTCCACAGACCGGACTGTGTGGTTCTTCAGATGGCCTGAAGGCTACGTCGCCGAGCTGGAATGCCATCCTGTCGCCCAGCAAGACCAAGCTCAGCAGCCTCCGGTAGGTGCACATCAAGCTGCACCTTCGAACTGCTTCGCCTCTCCAACCTCCTTGTTTGCAATGGAAAAGTTGAGGAACCCTCTCCGTCCGTACTAACCAGAAAGCTGTTTTTCTGTTCCATGCACTAGATTAAAGCAAACGTTACGAGCTGTGGCTCACCACCAGAGTCTCCAATGGAAGTAACGATGACTCTCACGCCCACGGATGTCTGCTGTTTTCCTGCCCCACAGAACATGACACCAGCATACGTATGCCAGACAAAAGCACATTTAATACCGCTCAGTATTTCCCAGGTAAAAGAACTGGAGCAGATCACGAGACAACATTCAGTGGCGCAGATATAGTGACCATATGTGCTCGGAGTAGAAACCTCACGTCCTTTTTTGAACTCACATTGCTCATTATATCGTGAAATCGAATCATTTAACTTTCTCATGCGATTTTATTATTAAATTGACACTTGATTGTTCCCCCTGCAGCAAACCGTGTTGTGGAGGTTGATGAAATGTGGCGTGCCAGGGAGAAGGAACTTGAACTTGAGTCTAAGCTGAAAAGAAGAAATAAAGAGCGTGGTGACTCTAGAGGGGAGAAACGCAAAGATGACTCGAGAAATATGAGTTCCAACTCAAAGATTGAAGAAGAAACCACTTATAATAGTTCTTACTCAGACCAGGATGATGGTCTAGGGGATGATGAAATTGAAAAGTTTCTGCATTCAAGGTTAGTTTCTTCATAGAACAAGCGGACAGTATATTGATTGACACCTGCCAGATAACTAAGAATTTCTCTGTTTATGTCAAAACTATTGATGCAAATTATCTGCAGTATTATAGTCGTAGTATCACATTATTCTGCTGAGATTGCCATATCCTATTAGGTGATGTTTTTCAAGGGGAGTGTTATGTTTAACTTGTGCGCATTTGCATCTGTTACATATTTTCAGTTCTGTTGACAAAATATGTAATTTGGTGCTATGTCAGGGTAAAGCGAGGAAGAGGTGCCGTTGGCTCTAGGATGGATGAACCTGGTCCATACCTAAAGGCTTCATCACATTGTCGAGACGAAGAACCTAGCCCGGATATACGTTTGGAAGAAAAATGGGAACGGCGAGTACAAGGTCCGGAGAGGCCACTGTTTTTGAGATCCAAGTCTCCTGATGATTGCTGGCATAAGGAAACATTGGACGATAAGCCATCCAGCTCTTCTGAACCACGCAGAAAAAAGGAAAATAAGAAGGAGAGGAAATCAGAGAAAAAAGAGAGAAAGGAGAGAAAAGATAAGAAGAAATCTAAGCATCGGCACCGCCACCACCATCACAAAAGCCGAAGAAGGGAGTGATGTGCCTGGAAATCCATTTCTGCACCCGAGCTCATCTGCACCCGCGCCGACGAAAAAAATCAAAACAAATACTAGCAAAATTCAAAAAATTTCAAATAAAATTTGTGTGGTAGACAATTTGATGCGCGAGGCCGCTCCAAATTTCAAGTCATTTGGACATATGAGCAGCTCTCAGCAAAAAAGACAAATTGGGGATCTGTAAAAATGTTTACTATTCATGTACCGTTTTGGCCCGATTTGTCCTTTTTGCTGAGAGCTGCTTATATGTTCAAATGACTTGAAATTTGGAGCGGATCTCACGCATCAAATTGTCTACCACACAAATTTTTTATTTGGATTTTTTTGAATTTGTTTTGAATTTTTTACGAATTCTTATCTAACCAGGTGCAGATGAGCCTGGGCACCAAAACGCCCTATTCGTAATGTGCCATATTACTGAACTACAATATGTACACAAGAAAAGGTTGGTTCTGTTACTGAAAGATGCTGCTACCTGCTGCTGTTACTTGTTCATTGGATACCTGTGTTGTAACTAAAACTCGGCCAGTGCGTACAAGGGGTTACGGTTGGCACTGTACCCCGTGTTTAAACATGATCATATTATGTGTTACTCGAGTTGAACTTTCTTTGCTTATAACATGATTGGCATCTGATGAAAGTGATCGTTTTCGCTTGTGTGACATGATCAAAGGTCCACATCTGCAGCGAGCTACTCCCTTCGTCCCATAATATAAGAGCGTTTTTAATGTTAAAAACGCTTTTATATTATTAATTTTCGATGGAGGGAGTAGTACTTAACCATGAATATCTGTTACTTCCTCCGTCCCATAATATAAAAACGTTTTTAACTCTACACTAGTGTAAAAAACACTCTTATATTATGGGACAGAGGGAGTAGTTATTTAGCGGCCACGTCGACGCCGGTGTCCTTGTCCACCTCGCCAACAGGCACGTACTCCTGGCCCACTCCATGTCTCCATGGCGTCGCGTCAATGAATCTACCTGTGCCGCCCCTCCTACTGCATCGATTCTACTTCATTGACACTGCCCATGTCTCCAGCTGCTCGATGTCAGGTGTTGTTGGCCCATGTTTTGTGTCTCGAAAGCTCCTATTAGCGCAAGGATCCAGAGCTGCACCATCAAAGACCTCCGGCTGCCGGGGAATAGTCCATTGCCCGCAGAGACCGAGCTTGAACTGCTCATGTAGTGGTGACACTATACTTGTCTTTGGTCAAATTAAATTATAAAGTGATATTTGGAGTTTTGACCAAGCCTTTTTTTCTCTATATATGATGTTTATTTAGGGCCTGGAAGAATCGGTTTCCAGTAAACCTTATTAATCTCAGATCTCTTCTAATTAATTTCCGTGCGAAATCATTTGAACACAATTTTCAATTATTTAACTTTCAAACCAAATTTGTTGAATTCAAGCTAATTTTGTCTACACCAGCCAATTCTGGCCAGCATTTTCTCCACCGGGAGGGGCAGGTAAACTGGTAACTGGTCGGTTACGCAAAATTCTGACTGGATTTGAGAAATGAGAACCTTATTTTCTTTACTACTTGGAGGTTAATTAGTAATCTAGACCTGTTACCGAAACCTTACTGCCACACATATGCTCGGCAATGCTACTTTTTTTTAGGGAAGGCAATGCCACATTTTAAAAATAAACAAAAAAATCGATATTTTTCTATGAAATGGAATCCTCCAATTTTTCTAGATTTTTATTTTGAAAAAGGAAATCGAGCAATGGGTGGTCGCAACATAGGAAAAAAAAAGGACAGACTACTGAACGTCTCTGAACATTTCCAGGTTGCCCCTACAGGCAACGAGCACACAACCAGCATAAAGCAAACCAGAAGACTTGTGAAAAGAACAGTACTATACAGCACCCCAGTGCCCTTCCTATTCCAGCCGATGGTTCTGAAAACATCACTTGAAAAGCGCATATACAATTTGGCTCCCGAATTGATCGCAGCTTGGTTTTGGCCCTTTACCTCTAAAATAGACCAGGGAGATACTAATATTCCACCAGCAGGTTAGTTACATAGACTGGGTTGTGAGCCTGAATTGCAAAAAGCCAGCACAATTGTATCGAAGTTTATCAAAAACCATCAAAAACACTAAGGCCTAGTTTGGCAACACCATTTTTCCAGAACCATAGTATTCCAAAACCTCAGTATTTCAATAGATCCTCGAAACAGGCTCGCGCCCCACTTTGTAGATAAAGCACCGACCAAAGTACACGGCCGAACGATACATAGTGGAGAGGTAGCCCTCTTACAAAGCGGATCCTGAGATCTCGGTGCCACGCAGAACCTACGCTACCGAAGAAGAACAAGGGGAGATCAGAGTATAACAAATACTCCAGTTTATGAAAAACATATATTTTCTCAGTTTTGATAAAACCACCGAGGTGTTTGGCAAGTGGCAGTTTTTCTCAGTTTTCTTTGGTTTGGACAGACTGTTACGTTGTTGCATGCATATTCAGTTACACTCATGGATCAGCTTGTGCTAATGGCCACCGTATGCATGCAGCCTTGCACGGGCATGTTCTCTCCGAGATGCTAGGAAGGATCTGTAGTAGTAGTAGTAGAGTTATCTGTTGTAATGAATCGAAGACCAAGCTAGTTACAACATGCACTGCAAGTCGACATGTGTCGCCCCTCTAGCCGGATAGATCGATCGGTTAGCTATCAATTTTACGTGTCACGAGCATCGATGGCCAGAAGAAGATGAACACAAAGAAACAACCCAGCAAGTCGTTTCTCAGTTTTTTTTAAAAGAGGTCCGGACCTCTTTTTTATATACTACAAAAAGACTATAGTTTTAGAGATACCACAGTTTGTTAAACTGTAGTATTTTTTTCATCCAAACGACTCAAAGTATTGAATACCAAGGTTTTTTCAGAAGCCACAGTATTTCTTAAAAACTACAAAAATACTTTGGCTCCCAAACGCACCCTAAAGTTTGAAAAAAAACATTGTTTTTTTACCAGAAATACCAACTGCTTGGTTGACTGTGTTTTGACGCAAACGCAAAAACTGACAGGCGGGCTCCGCTCTCAGAGCCGACGTGGCAGGGGGTCACGGGCCGCATGAACGGCCATTAGACGGCATGACTTGATCTGGCCATTCATTCGTGCCATGGGCACCAGGGCCAACATGTTATCTCCCTATTAGAGTCCATATATTAATAGCATTGCATCTTAATATAAGATAAGTTTCTATTTTCGAAGTAATATGAGACAATATGTTAATTGCTTGCTGATATTGGATAAGTTATAATTGCATTTTTTAGGATACCCGATAATTTAATCGCTGCCGGTTTCAACAGAACCATTGCTATTTTGACACTTCCAACAAAAAAAGGACGACGATTTACGGCATGCATGCATGCAGCTATATGATTGCGCTAAGATTTGAAAAGTGGTTTTATGATTAGAGCTTAATTAGAGCATGCATGCAACTTTTGACAGAGTGCATGCCCCACCCACTCACCTCTCATGCTTTTCATTTAGACTTGTACATTTAAATATATTATATCTTTTAAACCGGTAGTTCAATTTATATTTTGTTTACATATTCATGTTCCTTGTGACGAGGGCGTTGAAATAAGATCAAGTCCAAATATGTTTTGACTTTATTTAAAATTCTAAATAAGATTCAAATTTTAAGATAAAATAAAAAATACAATCATGCGAAAAGCTAGCATTAGCATGCATGGACCTCCGGTCATTAGTGCATCAATCTTAAAGCAAATGGGCGGGCTTAACCCTGACACGCACGCCCATGCGAATTTCCATGCTAACAAAGTGTTGTGTAGGGTCACCTAAAAAATATGTGTGTAGCTACAAAATGAGCGACAATTTTTTCTCCCTTCAATTGATCACAGATTCACGAGCAAAATATACGAGGCAAACGATGCAATTTGCAAACTATCCAGACACTGCAAATCGGAATATTTTCACCACAAAAAAGAACCCGGAACATTGGCGGCCCTTTGGGCCATGGCCGAAATTTGCGTTCCTCTTCCGTTATGGGAAGTGGGAACAGATCTCTCCACAGTAAGATGGATACGAAGAAGAGGAAATTGGAAACCCTAACCTACGCGACCGCCCCTTCGTCTTCGCGCCGCGGCGAGCCGGACCATGTTGCCTCGCCGGAGGAGTGGAGGGACTGGGCGTCGCTGCCCGACGACGTCCTATACATCATCCTCAGCCGACTCCGGCAGACCGACATCCTCAGCGGCGCAGGGCTCGCGTGCCCGCCCTGGCGGCGGGTAGCCAAGGTCGAGCCCCTGCTGTGGCGTCACATCGATCTGTCTCCTAACCCTCTTCGGCTTTCACCGCCCCCGACAGGATGGAAGGCGATGGCCCGCGCCGCCGTGGAGCTGCGAATCGTTCAGCGGCCACGTCGACGCCGATGTCCTGGTCCACCTCGCCGACAGGCACGTACTCCTGACCTACTTCCATCTCGCGCGCTGCATCGAGTCTAATTCATTGACATGACATGACATGCATGCATATATCTGTTGAAGCGGCCACATTTCTGTAGATCTATCTGTCCTGACTACGTACCTCTCCTAAATCCTAATTGATCGCCTGCAGTGCGCCATTGCTGAGGAACCTCTCTGTCACAGGCTGGCCTTACATCCGTGACGGAAAACTCGTCACGGAGATTATCAGGAAGCTCCCTCTGCTGGAGCGCCTGGAGCTGTGGAGCGGCTGTTTCCAGAAAGAGCTACTCGACGCCCTCTTCGACCACTGCCCACGTCTTGAGCTGCTCGATGCCCGTGAATGTCGGCCCATGTTTTGTGACTGGGTAGAGCCTATAAAAACGAGGATACGAAGCTGCACCATCAAGGACCTCCGGATGCCGTACATTGAGTTGCACTAGTGCACTGCTCGGTACGCTGGATTCATTTGTAGCATTATTATTAAATTAAACTCTGAATTCCGCAAATATACTCGTTACCAAAAACCCTGCTGCCCATATGCT